CTCTCTCACTTATAATAGAATATGTGTGTTATGTCAATAACATTGTTAGAAGCAGGACTACTACTAACGAGCCTGGCTTAATGAAAGCATTTGCACAAATGAATTTTCTATGAACCTAAGGAACCACATCAGCATTCAAATGGCTGCAAATGTCCCCAGGTCTGTTTCCCCATGGGGTACCAAGAGTATTAAGAAAACCACAAGCTTTTCAGGCTCTAAGAGCATTAAGAAACATGAATGGGGCCATCTTTATAAGTCCCTGTACATGTTTTCATCAGGCCAAATTTGTCACCAAAACAGAAGACTCAACTAAGAGTTTAAAAGAACTTAATAAACACCCCAATAGGCGACAGGTGAATTAACATGAATTATCTGATCCTTGGGGAGAAGCCAACTTTCATCAATTTTCTCCCAATTATCCCTTGTTTTATCCCACAAATACCCCACCTGAGCTCAGAAGAGACAGAGTAAATAAATATGCTGTGTGGGGACTGCGGAAAGGTGTTGAAACCAATAACCAGGGGTCCAATCTGTGTTAAGTGCGTTGGTTTTCAGTAGCAAATAGGGCCCAACTTTCATCAACTGTGGGAAGTGGTTATTAGTACAAGGTAATGTCCTAAAAGGATCCCTAAAGATGCAGAAACTTACGAAGTACAGAGGCCTCCCAACCAAGTCTATTCCTTCGGACAGAAATATGCAAAGGAAAAAAGAATTAACACTCAGACCACAGTCTCCAAGTAGGGATGCTATGAGTTTGTTTTCCAAAGGAAGTAAAAGGTGGGGAGGGGATAGCACACCCATCACACAACATAACGTGAAAAATGCACTGACCAGCAAGCTTTGCTAAGATCCAAACAGAATTTCACCATCTGAGGGATAAACAAATGTGAGGAAAGTGTCAGTAAAGGGTCTCTTCCCCATGCTTCATCTTCAGAGAAAAGACGTCATTTTTCCTCTAAGGTTTTGGTTTTGACGATCGACATAAAAGCAAAATGAAAAATTTACCATGTGGATCTTTTAAAGCACAGTGCAGATCAAGGAATGTAAGACGGTTTTTATGTTCTTTTAATGCTCTCCTAGCAGGCCCGGTGTTGCCGTTCCCAGCTACTGATGGTGAAGCTATTCTGTCTTCTCACATCCGCAGTCATTGTCAAGATGAGCTCGTTCACGGTAAGCAAGTGGCTGTGAGTCATCGGGCTGGAGCCGTTAGTCATACACAGAGAGGCAACGTGTAGTCTGGTTGGTTAATTAGAAACTCGTAGTGAGAAAGGCAAAGTACCATTTCACAGCAGATTGAGGCTTAAAGGTTTTTGGCATAGAGCTCTGTAACACTGCTTTTCAAGATACATACACATACACATATGTGCATGGATATATACTTATGTGTGTGTATATGTGTACATATACACACATGCACATACCTACACATATATATCCATACACATATGCACGTGTGTGTATGTATACGTATATACATAGTCTCCATCCCTAATAAGATCCGGCAGCTGTCAGAGTAGCCGTCACCAAAAACACTCTGTTCACACAAGTTTACAAGTTAACAATTGGAATGACTTCTAAATCTTTGATTTATCAAAAAGAGAACTTCTAAAATCACAACATTTTTGGTTATTTTCTCCATAAGTGCACAGTGAACATTTTTTACAAAATAAGAAAACAGTGCCTTAGTGATTTAAATTAAAACAACAACAACAACAACAACAGCATTAGCTACTTTCTACAGCATGCAACACTATGAAAACGGTGAGCTGAAGGCACAGTGAGCCTCGGGAGGCTGTCCTGACAGCTGAGTTTTTCAACTCCCAGCACAAGCACGAGAGGTAATGAGGAATGCACACGAAACCATCGTCTTTTCTTCCCTCCATCCTTTTCAATGCACAATTGTGTTTTCTTTCAGAAATCCATACCTAAAATACTCTCTCCTTGAAGATGTATCTCCTATTTATCTTTACAATATAATGCTTTCCAATTTCCCCAAGCAACCCAAATCAATGATTGCTGTAAATCAAATGAGGGTAGAATGAACTTGGTGACCGATGGGTTAAGCCATCAGCTTCTTCCTAAGGACATTCTTTCAGCTTCCTTTTGCAGAAAATTATGCATGTGGGGAATGAGTTTTCCAGGAAAACCTGGAGTTCTAGCTTTTGAAATATGGCTTTATTAGGTGTCTGGCAGATTGTTAGACCTAAGAAGTCCTCTTCTTCCAATGTTGGGGCAGAAAAATAAAGATATTCAAGAGAGAAGCAAGAAAGGATTGGTACCATGAAGGAAAAGTGGAATGGGAAAAAAACAAACTGAGGACCACGCCCATTCCAGAAAAAGAAGCTAGACCCCACACATGGTCCTGCTACAGGAACCCATGGCACCTCTCCCGTGACACGTGGAACAGTGTTCTCTACTGCTGTCTGAATTATCCCTGATACGGCTTCCTGAGGCTCAAGATCCTTTCATCTGCTTAGGTGGCCATCACTAGTCTTTGGAACTAAAGAGGGTTGCCTTGGAGAACCTTCCCTGACAGGAGTGTCTTGCCTGTTTCACAAAGCTTCTCGCCACAGAGAGAGCGGGAGGGACTGGCTAACTGGCTGGGGACAGGGGAGTTCTGAGTGGGGTTCTCTGCAGCAAATGCTGGTCGACTTTTACCAGCGACCACAGAGTCCTGGGTGGAAGACCAGAAGCCACTCCAGTGGGGCAGCTTTGTGGCCAATGGACACTGGGTGGATTTTTCTCCCCTGGGAATGAATTGGCTCTGTCCCTCTCCTCTGCCTCAAGGACTCCGTAACTGAAACTGGGCCTGATTTGTATTTTGAAAGACAGGCAATGGAGAGATGAACATCAGCCTCCATCACAGGTATGCCTCCCAGAACCTTTGATGGACTGGCTTCCTTGTACTCCCAAAAGAGTACATTTTCTTTCCACAGTATGTCTAATAAATTCACAAGAAAAGCTTATAAGGTGAGATTATGCCCCAAGAAAGCCTTAATTAAATTATGGGCTAGAGGAAATATTGGTGTTTGAAAAGGTAGTGAAAGGATTTCTTTTTGTTTTGGCATTCTTGATCTGCGAAAGCACATTTTTAAGTGCACTGCTTAAATCAATAACAGTCATTGGATGTTGGTAAATGCTACTATATATATATACGTAAGGGCTCCTGTTGTTCTGTTGATTGTCACAGAAGTCTCCATTGCCTCTTTTTAATCTCCTCCTTCCCTCCTCCTTTTGGATAATACAAGGATTTATGGTTGTAGAATTCCTGCTGGTCTTCCCTAGCACTTCTGCATCAGGCATCTACCAGTGCTGTAAGTGAAGGTCCATGGGGGAATTCAAATTAAGATCCGTGACATCTAGAAAATCGATGTTGAAGATGCTGGGGCCGCTGGTGGTGAGCGAGCTGAAGCTTGGTGTGGAGCTTGGTGGAGTGAGGTCCAGCCACTCCATGGTTTCCCAGGGAGATTCCGTGAAGCTTAACTGCAGCCCACCGCTGTCCGCGGAAGGTGAAAACTGAGGGTGCATCGGGGAGAGGGGACCCGGCAAGATCTCATGCACATTGAAGAGGTCTTCCGCAGCCTTCCCAGAGAATCCATCCATCATGCCATCGAAAGAAGGTTCCTCGCTCCCAATTTTTAGAAGGGAAACGTCGCTCACCTTCCCTAAGGGGCTCTGGGAATTTAATAAGACTTCCAGGTGCTCATCACTGTCTGTGCCGTAGTGGTCGAAGGAGAGCTGGCCTCCTGAAGACGTTTGTTCGAAGGAAGATGAAGGCTTGGGGAGGACGGCAGTAGGGCTTCGGGAAGACCTGGGCATCTTTGGGACTTTTTGAAGACATGAATGATCCTCTCTGGCATCAGCTGGCATTTCTGTTGTTAAAACACATGGGAATTGTCAAATTACTTCAAACAGAGCATACCATGCAACATGAGTCCTGAATGAATGAGTCACACTCATCCCGTCTCATCCCTGGACTGCTCTTTTCATCCCCAATCCTTTTTTTTTTTTTTTTTAAATATATTTTATTGATTTCAGAGAGAGAAAAGGAGAGGAAGAGAGAGATAGAAACATCAGTGATGAGAGAGAGTCACTGATCGGCTGCCTCCTGC